AACAAGTCTAAAAAAATTATAAAAATAAATAAATAAATAATATAAAACAATTAAACTAATTACAACTAATTTTGTATAATCAAAACCAACCTTCAGTTCATTCATAAGTGTCTTAATTTTTTCATTTTTGGTCCTTAATATTTCTTCATAATTATTCGAATTCAAATCACTTATCTGAGTGACACCATTGTCTATGACATTGTTTTTTTTACTTTTCTTAGGAGTTAAATTGTTTGATATTTTAGTCTTTAATTCATCACATTCTAATACTAATGATTCCACCTAAAACGAATTGATAAATTGTTCGTAAATTAATTAAAACACTGGTACAAAAAAAATTGACCATTAAAAAAAACAATCTTGAACATAAAACCATTTTGGAGTTTTTAAATTTTTATGTCATCGAAATTAGCAGACATTTCACTGTATTAAGATATTACTTAAAAAATAAATTATTTTTTAAAAATTATACTTTAGAAAATTTCACTCATCGATTTTTGCATGTGAAATTTTTTTGAAAAATTTATTTATTTTTTTTTTTTTTCAATTTAGTTGTTATTAAAATTATAAAATTCTATGATAATGAAATTGAGAGACATTTGATGATTTTTATGATTTTTTAAACAAATAAATTAAAACAAAAACAAAAAAATCACCGAAAAATTTTTAAAAACTGTAAATCCTATTTTTTTTAAAAATATTTTACTTGTTAAATAAACCCTTAAAAATGATCGAATTCTTTGAAATTATATTTTTGGTTCAAGATTTTTTTTCTAAAATCAAATTAATTTTTTTATCAATCTAAATGTCAAATTATAAATAAAAATTATTTTACTTGATTATCTTTATACTGCAACATTTCTTGTGACAATTTAATAAGAGCGCGTAGATTATGAATATTATCAACTTGCTCGGTATCACATCCAATTACCATCGGGAATAAATCTTCTATTTCATCGTCTGTCAGCGAAACCGCTTTGACACCGCGAATCCTATCCCAATCCATTTGCACCATTTTAACTTTTATTAATTATTTATATCAATTACAATATGAACAATATAATATTATAAATCAGATCAGAGCAGTTACTTATAACTGAATATATTATGTTACGCTTTATTTTATATTTTTGTATATATTTATGCCAGAGCGCAATCACCTGGTCTGTTTGTGTGTCATGTTTACGATTGTTGTCATGGATACGCTATTAATAGTAGAGGGGAATTATACATTTTTTAAATCGTGCTCTAATGGATATTCTACTTATTTTCATAAATATCACTATATTATTTTCTCAAGTAGCAATTTTTAGTGTTTCAAATTTTTTGATTGAAATAAAATGTTCCTTTATTAAAAACTTGTTAGACATACTTTTAAAAAATATTCAAATTCTGTATAAATGTAAATTATTTCATGAAGGGGTCATTCTGATTCATAGAAAAATTTATTAACTATCAATAAATTCATTTATTTGTGGAAAATTTTTTCACTTGTTAGATATAACTAAATATTTTTTAACTATTATGACAAATATTTTTTGAAAGAAAAGTTAATTTATGATTAGTTAATAAATATTTATTAAATCATCTGGTGATGAAGAATTTTTTACTAATAGTTAATAAAACAACAAATATTAACGAATCTTTCTATCAGTGCATATAAAAAAAATAACTTTGTCCGAGATTCGAACTCTGGACCCATTAAAAATTTTTAGTGGACACACGGAAAAAAGTAAACTGTAATAAATAACAGTCGATTTATAATAAGTAATGATCAACTGCTAAAAATGACCATTTCAAACAGTAAAATCGTGATTTTACTATTCACTTTATAATATTTACCATTTAAACGTTACAATTTACTCTTTACATGGAAGAAATACTATTTCAAACAGTAATATTTGCTATGTAAATGTCTAAAATGTTTAAGTATAATAATTAAGAAATCAGACTTTGATATTTATCATTTCGTACCTAAAAAATGATCTTATGATATGTAAAAAGTATAAAATAAAGTTAGTAAATTTCTTATACAAGCAACGTCAATATTTACAAGGTAAAATGGTAAATTTTAAACGCAACGCTAAAAATCAAACTGTCATTATTGACTTGCTTGGACTGGTAAAATGTAGATTTTAAAAGTATAATTTTTACTGTTTCAAATGTTAAATTCTCCCAAAGTGAGACCCCTTTCTCTTTCATCTGAGTTCCCCTTCTCCTTATAATATGGACTATATATTGAAATGGCAATTTTTACTGTTTGAAACTGTAATTTTCTAAGATGAAAGAGTCGTTATTTACTATAGTGACAGCTACTAATCACTGATTTTGGATATTAAATTATAAATTGTGGTTTTTATACTTTCTACATTAAGTTCTGTAATATTTAATATTTTGCCACCCCGATGTCCGCTTTACTGTTTGAAACTATAAAAACTAACCAGAACCCGAGTGAATATTACAGTTTACTTTTTTCCGTGCATAAATAATCAAATTTCAGAATTCTATCTATATATAATAAGAACTGTAGCTACCTAGTAACGACTTTTTGATCTAATTGATTTGACTTGTTATTTTGAATTATTAAATTTAATTCTTAACACACCAATAGAAAAATTTAAGAATTCATTACCCGAGAAAAAATTTTTCTATATAATCATATATAATTGTATATAATCATATATGATTATATATGGGGCATTCCATGCCAAATCGACCACTTTTGACACCGACCCTTTTCGATTTTTCTGAAATTTTGGTATCTTTCTCTACCCTATTGAAAACAATTTTCAGAATTTTTTCAAATTTTTTTACCCAACCAAAAAAAAGTTACGAGTTATTACAAAAAAACAGCTTTTTTTTTGTTAAATAACCATAACTTTTTTGAAAATTGACTTTTTGAGATGTTTTTTTTTTTTGAAATTTTTGTCTTTAAATGTACTTAAAAAAAAAAAAAA